AGGAGAGAGGTTACACACGTCCTCGCCAGCCTCCTTTTCATCTTAACCTCCAGGAATCAGACTTTGGGATTCTTTAATATACATTTTAAACTTATATTTTTCATAATCTAGTTACAACTCGAGTTATATTTTCAAGTTTTCTTTTTGTTTTGTTTTCGGTTTCATCGCGGCGTAAACATATTACTCTTAATACTTTAATATCTTATTCTCATAATTCCCCTTTCTTCTTTAATCCTTTTTAAATTCTCTTTTTGCATTAATTTGTTACAAAAGTAATCTAAAAAAATGGTTCGAATTCTAGATCATACATTTTCTCAGTCCAGCATCCCTCCCGTTCTAAAATTACAATTGCATAAATTAAATAATTTTGACAAATTTATTAAATGTATAGAACAAGGAAACAAAAAGAGGAAACTTCTTGAATGTATTGTTCACAATATGTCTAATAAACCAACACTGCAGTAATATAAAAATAGTAAAAACATCTCTTCTCACCCGCCATATCTCTCAGCTAGCAAGTAAGATTTGTAAAATCTAGAGCTTTCTTTAAAATTCTCTGTAGTGCACTGGACTGAAGAAATGGAAGTGACTTATGGTTTTAAGTTGATTTTTTTCCAGAATAAATAGATCATCCATCCTGGCATTGCGGCTTAAAATAGCCAAATCGGTAAGCAAGCGTTCGTAATAAAAAATATGTCGGAAATATTTAAATTCAGAACATTGGGTGAATTACATATATCAGAAACTATAAAAAAAATGATGTTTTCTTATATGTCTCGTCAACTATTCACCCTCCCCCCCCCCATCCCCTCCGTTTGACCTAACTTAAGTTTTTTTTTATTAGATTTATCTCTGGAATACTTTAAAATTGAAGTAATTTCAAGCTAGCCTGTCTGTTAATAGAGTGGCATGTCCGATTTACAACGGTACCCTTGAAAGCTTGGTCTGATCAAGAATAAATGTCTGTCTCATTAAAAAGTGATTAATTTTAAATGTGGGTTTCTCTAACAAAAGTGACTTGCGCATTTCTGACTCAAGAACCATGAAGAACATTGTCAGAATTAAATACTTTTTAATCTAGACAAACGATATTTTCCACATTGTTGATCAGATAAAAGACTACATGGGCAATGGGCATGTTCATATTTAAATGTCTTTAAATTACAAAGACCAATGAGATAAATTCTGTAAACTTTAGATAAGTGTACACATCTCTTTAAGTGAGCAAAAGTACAAAAAAATATAGAAATTGTTAATCTAAATATTATATTATCTTCTCTTCAATCATCCTTACTTCCCCAATAAGCATTATCTTCTCTCACTTTACCATTGAAAATCAATAATTATCGGATTTATTTTATTTGGTAGCTAAAGAAAAGGTTATGGACTAATAAGAATAGGGGCTGGGGGAGTTAATGGTTAGGGACGAATAAACAGAATAAATGATTTGAGTTTTTGCAACAAACTCAAATTTCCTAATCCTTTTATCTTTATAACCTGATAGGACAAACCTTTGCTATTTCAAACTTAGAATATCTGTTCTAACATAGTTCATAGTTTGAAATATCAAAGTACTACGGCATAAGGTTGCCAGGGTATAGGGAGTAGAAATTCAGAGCAAGTGGCAAAAACTCAATTTTTTAAGGTGGGAAAAATTAGTAAAAATAGTCAGGTGCGGAAAAAGTTTAACCTTAGAAGTGAAACATATTAAAGCACCGAATTTTGTCAATAAATTATAATAGTAGTATATATCTACTTTGTAATTGAAAACATAATTAATCTGTATCTCAATACAGTACACATACACCTGTAGGTTCAGATACATGGGATGATAGGGATAAAATACATGTGTTATTCACTTTTTTGTATATATATAGGTTTAACAATGAGCAATAAGGATTCAATTAATTTTGATGAGGATCCGGATCCAGGCTAAAAATAATTTCTTCCAAGGTTTACTGATTTTTTTAAACAAATGAAAGTTTTCTCCTTCTATTTTTCTTTTTTAAGCTTATTTTTATGTTGAAACTTGATGAACCATTCAGAGTTGATAATAATCTCTCATTAGTTAACAGTCGATATTTGTGTTTTGAGAGAAAAAAAGTTCTTTTAGAAGGTTTTGGTTGATATTTTAGTCCCTTGGAACCGGATGCGAACGTTTTTGCAAATCCGGATCCAGGAAACCGAAATATTGCGAATTCAACTTATCCGGATCCAGATCCTAAGCACCGACAAAATACCTAAATATGTTAGATTTAGTCAAACATTTTAAACAAAAACCCTTATAAAAGTAAATCATTTTTTTAATTGGAAATAAAAAACACGCATTAGTTTATACGTTGATCTTTTTTATTAAAAGTTTTCTTCTCTTGTTTCAAATTTAATCATAAAGTTTAAACTTCCGATCTGAAAAATGTAATTTAACTTTAGTGCATCAGTGCACATACATTATTTAGGCAGTCTCTACAATACATACAAATACATTGTACAACTTATTATTTTCATATTTAAATAAAAAATAATAAAATACTCACGAATAGATTAATTAAAGGCAGAGTTTGTGAAGTTCTGGAAGGTTAAATGAGTTGGATGACACTGTAAGAATAAAATAAGACAGGATGAATGAAAGGTTAAATGAACGAATTGATAAGGAACAATGAATGAATTGACCGAATTTAAAAATGAGTGAATGAACAAGAATAAGAAATATTCATGAATACAATTGGTGAATGGATGAATGGATGAATAAGATTATGAAAGATGAATGAATAAATGAAAGTAGGAAGAAAGGATGCATAGGATGTCCTTGGATAAATAAGATCAGAAAGGATGAATATGATGACCATAGATGAGTAAGATTAGGAAAGATGAATAGGATGACTCTGGATGAATAATATAATAAAAAAATGAATAGGATGACCCTGAATGATTAAGATTAGGAAAGATGAATAGAATGACCCTGGATGAATAATATAATAAAAAAAGATGATGGTGGATGACTAATAAACCACGAACATATGTAT